TTCATTAACTTTCATCTTCTTCTAATGAAGCCTTCACTCTACTTTGCTACTTTCCATTATGTGCATCTTTGACACATCGTATATGGGAAAAGAAAGGGAAGGACCTCACAGAAAGAGATGTTTTCCTAAAATCACATTCCACAACAAGACGCCAATACCTGTCAACAAGTACTAAAGGTAACTAAAAAAATCCCCAATTTTTATTAGATAAAACCCGTTATACTTTGCTTTTAAAAGGGCCACTTTATTCTAAAATGCATTCATGTTAAAATGCTGTGTTTTTTCCTCCAAAAGGAGTACTTACCCCAGTGAATAGAGACGGCATTGCTTGCTTTTCATGCGATGAACTAAATTGAACCTATCATCAAGACAGATTGACCATGGCTTCTTTATACTTTCAGAGTTATCTGTCAGGCCGTTTATATTCATATGTTCACATGAAATCTGTTGAAATCAGAAGAGGTTTTGTTTTAATATAACAGGCAGAACACTAATTTCTTTACTGTTGGTTTACTTTGAGGGGGAAAAGTGAAGGGGTGGAAAATTAAAAATGGTTTAATTATAAACTGAGTTACAATCAGATACATGGCTATGAAAACTGGTTGTTTTTTCCTTGTTTGTTACTTTTGTTGGCTGAAGAATGTGGTGGATCAGAAAAATCCCTCCTAAGACTAATATTAAAGGCATAACTAAGCTTCTGTATTATATACTAATCTATTTCCCTAAAATCTGTTCACTTGAGCATAAAGTGCTCCTTTCACACCTGAAACTGAATTTTCCATTTGTATCATTGGGGGAAAAATCTTGTGGCACTTGATTACCTAGACTACAGGTTTGTATTCACTATTATTATTTATACAGTGCTATCAGTGTGCTAGACAATTTACACACAAACAAAGATGCTGTCTTCTGTTTCATCCAGGTAGAACCTCTGACAACTGACTCTCATCCAATTCCCAATCTTGGCCAACACTAGGAAAGCACAGACCCCAGCCTACTTGGAATTGATGAGACACAACAACTAAATAATGAAGTTAAAATGGAAGTTACAATTCCTGCTACAATTCTAGTAGTCACTATCTATATCCTCTATAATAAACCAATCAGTCACTTTTAATAAGGCCTAATCTTTAAAATACCATTATCTGAAAAATTACCACTTGGAGGGTTGCCTGCTGCATTTCCCATCCTCCCTTCCCCCAATTTTTATCATACCACCTATGGTAAATTCATGAAAACAAAGAATTGTTATTCATGCTGTTCCCAGGATTCACTAAGCCATAAATAAGAATGTAGCTTTTCTTCTCTCTACCATTCAGTCATATAAAAATCAGCAAACAACTGGCATGGAAACAAACACATAATACATTGGTGCTCATTTTGAAATATATTTTAAAAAAATCTACATGCTACAGGAAATCAATTCACAGTAAAATAAACAAACTTCATAATGCTAATAGTTAATTGATTCATGATACTTAGGAAAATACAATGCTCAGAATTTAGAAAGCTTTTAACAGCTCTTGGAAGCCTGGGAAAAAGGAGAGGACTTTATATGGGGAGCCAGGAGCCCAGGGCTGCATTCCTAGTTCAGCCACTGACCTCGTGCAAAATCTTAAGTAACTCATTTCACTTGTCTGGGCCTGTTTGCCTCTCCATCATTCCTGTCTTTATTATTTATTTAGATTGCATGCTCTCAGGTAGGGGCTTGTCTCTGACTAGGTATTTATACAATGGGCTCCAATCTTGGTTGAGGCCCCTTGGTGATACTTTAATACAAATAATAATGAATAAAACATATAAATGTTCTCATGATAATCTAATCTTAATATTTAAAGTGCCCCCCTTCCCCCCAGGTGCACACCTTGCTGCGTTCAAGGGATATGGTATCTTCTTGATTCGGCAGCACCGGTCTTTCATTTCATTTAAACTTGCTCAGTCCACAAGAAAAACAAGACCCGATACCCAATTCTATAAATATCTGTCATTTCTTGTGGCCTTCACACCTTTTATACAGGGCTATCAGTATTCATCAGTAATTCTGTAGCAGATGTAAGATCAGCAATGAGGGGTCTCTTTCATTTCTTGACTTCATTTATGCCTGGCCAAGGAGTCAGTAATTACTCTGAGAACTGAACTTCTTGATTGCCATGTCAAAAGCTATAAACTCTTTATTAATTGATGCTCTTGTAGATTTTGACACCACTAGCAGATTCTGCCACAATTCATTAAGTCACTGAACAATGACAGTTTTCTGTGCTCTGAACCTTCATCAGCCTAAATATCTCTACCTGACAACAAGAAGTATAAGTACCAGTAATTTGGACCACTTAGATCTTACTGCCTTCATTCGAAACATCTTCACTCCTGCTTTCTCAGTACTGTTCATTCTAGTGAGTGCTTAGGGAACAGATGTCATTGGAAGAATGATTCAGGTACTTCTAAACACACAGCTAAGGCACTCATAGGTCTGCAGATAAGCAGAGACATGTTACCATACAATTACCAATAGACAGGAACAATGGTATACATGCTCAAAGACAGATTCTCTGCTCTCTCATCCTCACAAACACTGTATGAAAAAAGAATCTCTTATGGGAGTGACACAACACCCATCTTATAAAGTTTTGTTATTCTTAGATGCAAGACACTGCATAGACACGTCAAGATGTTCAGAAATGACATGTTGGGAGATATGAGTATTAGAATACCCTCCTTGTTCTAACTATCTAGTAGCACTTCCCATTCTTTCTTGGGTGGAAAACACATACAAATGTCATTGTACAAACTTACATCTTTAGCAAGACATCCAGGCCTGATTTTCAAATCTGCTGAGTGCTTGCAGCTCCCTTTAACCTCAAGTGGGTTTCTAAATATTCAGCACTTTAGAAAATTAACCTCTCTCCTCCTCCTTTCACCAATGTGTGGGTGAGTATAAGAATATCTTGCTACAGAAAGATTAGAACTCTATTGACATTATTGAGGAAGCCTGTTTAACATATAGGAACCTGACACCTTTCCTAAACTGGTTGAGGTACCCAAAATGCATATTTTTAAAGAAAATGTGTGTAGCTACAAATCGAGACCTGGGGGGTGAGGGAGTGTGCAAAGTCATTTGCTGTTCAGAACGGCTGGTGATTCCCTCTAGGTCAGTGGTCTCCAACATGTTTATACCCAACATCACTTTTTAAATGACAGAACAAGCCAAGATCTACCTCCCCGCCCCTTCCTTGAAGCCCCACCCTCTCTATTTTCCTCCTCTCCATCACTTGCTATCCCCAACCCTTATACTGCTGCTTTTTTTCCCAGTTCTTCTGTAGGAAGAGGTTTTTCCAACATTTGGCCTGTCTAGACTTGACTAAATGTCAGAAAAACCCCTTCTTTTGGAAGCCCCCTTATTCCTCGTGGAAAGAAGAATATAGGGGTGACCGAAAGATCATGTTTGCTCTTCCGCTAAAAGAAGCGGAAGAACAAACGCATCCCTGGATGCAGAAGAGTTTTTCTGGGATATCTCTGGAATCCTGAAAAACTCGAATTTGGATTGGGGTCCATGAGGGGCTCAGGGCAGGGGGTTCCAGTGTATGATAGGCTCAGATGTAGGGTCTGGGGGAAAGGGGAGTGCAGGAGTGTTATGATGCTGTGGCCCCAATTGGGGGTTTGTTGGCCAGGCTTCATTTTCAAATAAAATACTATGTCAAACAGAAAAAGTTTCTGCATTGTCTTTATTTCTGAGAAGGGCAGGGAACCTGTTTTGAGTCAGGGGTCACTGACCCACAGAAAAGTCAGTTGGGGCCACACAAGTGAGATGCAAAAAAAAAACCCCTCCTCCAATCCCTCTCCCCACCCAAGCTTCACTAATGTGGCCCCAACTGTGTTGCTGGGAGCAGGGGACAGTACCGGGGAAGGGTAGTAGTGGGTGCTTCAGCTGAGGACAGGGTGCCAGTGGGGACAGAGTTCTGCGGCTGGGGACTAGGTGTCAATGGGGACAGGTTTCTGAGGCTGGGGAGTGGAGTGAGGGAACAGGGGGCTCGGGATTGGGGAGAGGGGGCTGGGAAGTGGGGAGAGGGAGCAGGGTGATGGGAGGGCAGGGGACAGGGTGCCAGTGAGGACAGGGGAGAGGGAACAGTGTGCCGAGAGGGCAGGGGATAGGGTGCCAGTGGGGACAGATTTCTGAAGCTGGGGAGTGGGGAAAGGGAACAGCAGAGTGGGGAGAGGGAACAGGGGAAAGGGAACAAAGTGCCAGTGGAGGCAGAGAGTCCCCTGCACCCACCTCCTCCCAGGATTTCTCCCCCACCCCCTCCGCAGGGAAGCGGTGTGTGCCTCCTCCAGGCCCAGCGCGTGCCTCTCATGG